GAACCAGGCATGGAATTCCCTACTGGCGCAAGGTTGCTGCTCATGAATAGTAACCAGCTTTTCAAAATCACCCAGAGGTTCTTTAAAGTGGAGTTTCTAGCCTGGTCCCCGGGAACCCATTTACATCAAGCACTCTGGAAGGCCTGTCTGGGAATTAACACTTTTAACAGGTGCCCTACCTGATTGTTATTCCCACTGCATTGTCAATAAGAATTCTTCAAAGTTTTTGAACAGGGGGCTGATGTGGATGAATTTGTATTTCAGCTGAGTTAGTGCAGCAACTCCGTACAGGGTGCATTTGGGCAGAAGAAATGGAAGGGATATTACCTAGCAGCAGGTGAGTTGAGCGGGGATTGAGGTGTGGAACGGGTGAGAGAACGAAGATTAAGAAACCTTTCATCCATGGCTGATTCATGTCAATGTATGACAAAAACCACTACAATATTGTAAAGTAATTAGCCTCCAACTAATAAAAATAAATGGAAAAAAAAAAAAAAGAAACCTTTCACGGGTCAAGTTGCAGGGTGGGGCCGCTGACTGATGTGGAGAGTAACGGTGAGAGGGGAATCAGGGAGGACCCTCAGAGATCCCGCGGTAGTGACTCGGGTTTCCGTTGGGTGCTGTGGGGCCTTGGGTACTTAGTGTTAGTCATCACAGTCCAGCCAGTGGAAACGTTACCGGAGCAAACCAACAGAAGATGATTTTGCTAAAAGATCAAAGTGAAGGAAGATGAACCCACAAAGAAAACCTAGAGGGTGTAAGTGTACACTTTAAAAAATAGCATAGTTTAGAATAAATTTCAACCAAAACTGGTCCCTTTTATTGTAGTTTTGGCAGTTAAGTAGACTCAGTTATCTGGAAAGTGTGTTTATACAAAATATCCCATTTCCCTAATAAATTGAGAATATGGTCAGAGTGTGGGGTCTTATGTTTATACCCAATCTTAAAAGTGAGCTAGATGGGCAGGAGAGTGTTTTGTGGGTTGCCGAGGTAGATACCGAGATCCAAGGACCAGATGAGAAATCGTAGGTCATGCACTGGCAAAGGGGTCCAGTTTGGCTCAAGTCATCACCATGATGATGACCTTAGAGCAGATTTTAAAATATATATTAAGGTTTTCATTTAAAGCAACCTTACCCTAGAAGCACTGCATGGGAAGAAAAAAGTGAAATTGCATAATCGTTTTAAGCTATGTGTGTGCAAAGAGAACAAAAGTGATTGTAAAACAACAGAAGATAGTAAAGCCTAACACCAAAGATAAAATGCTTAACTCTGGGGGAAAACCAGATGGCCCCAGGGGGGCTGGACAGTGCCCATCAGAACAGGCTACTGGAGGAACAGCCATACTGACACTTGTCACAGTTGGTGGCCCAGGACACTGAAAGGTCACTCACTGAAGATCTGGGTTCCAGGAAGAGTGGACTGTGTGAGTGGCCAAGACCCGCCTCCTGAGGCCACAAGTCCTTGAGCTGCCGGGAAGCAACCCCACTGGGCGCTGTGGCTAAGCCACAGGCAGCTAAGTGCATGGGTCTTCACAGCTCGTTTCTGGCTTCCGCTTGGCCTTACACCTGAGTCATCTTTTATGTATGCCCTCCTATAGCATTTCCATAAGCTGGTTGTGGCCAACACCATTCATCAACATAATGGGCTCAAATGGAACTCTTTGAAATCTCCCGGGACATGTCTTGCTCTAAGAAAGAAAGGTTAACAGCGATTCTTGAACTCGGAATTTATGTCTTCCCATAAATTGACCTCGGGAGGTTATTTGTGGATTCCAATAGAGGAAAGCCCTTCCAAGGTCCCTGCAGTCCTTGGCCCTCCCGGCCCCCACCAGCTGATGTCCTCTGCCTGCTCCTGCGAGCTCCTGCGCCAGGATCTCTGGGGACAGCATGGCGGTTGTATGTCTTGGCTTATTCCCTCTGCCATTTGTCCATTCATTCGCTGAGTATTTATTGCAGCCCCGCTTTTTCCAGGCAGGGTGCTAAGCGCTGGAGAGGCAGCGAACAGACATCTGTGCTCTCCTGGACTCACCACCTAAACAAACAATTACACAAGTTCTTATTAAAAGGCAACTGGAAAGTGAACTCGGAGGAGCGCAGGTGCTGTGGAAGTTTCTGTGGGAGGCTTTGGTGGGCTCTGTTGCCCCACCCCTCATGTTAATGCAGGTCTCTGGGGGGCTGACTGTGTATGGGCAGGATCTCTGGACACCCCCTAAATCACCATCGCATTACTCAGCCGTTGCTGTGAAATCTCAACCTCAGAGGACAGAGCCTCTGTCTCTGATGATGACGGCCCTGGCTGGAGTGTGCTGTGCCCTGCTTCTCGCCCAGCTCCAGGCTCCCTCCCTGTGACCCCAGCCCAGTTACTGGGCGCTCTGACCTGAGGCTTAGGTCCCTGGGGGATGCCAGCTGCCGGAGGATACCTGGAGGATACCTGGAGCATCCTCAAAGCAAAGCCCAGTCACCCGCCTACACAAGTTTTAGTTTGTTTTCCAAAGTGTTTGTTGTTTAGTTGCTAAGTTGTGTCTGATTCTTTGCGATCCCATGTGGTGTAGCCCACCAGATTTCTCTGTCCATGGGATTTCCCAGGCAAGAATACCAGAGTGGGTTGCCATTTCCTCCTCCAGAAAATCTTCCCAACCCAGGGATCACAGCCAAGTATCTTAGGTCTCCTGCATTGGCAGGCAGATTCTTTACCACTAAGCAACCAGGGAAGCCCTTTTCAATGTGTAGCTCTCAAACTTTTCTGATGATAAAACTAAAATACATACATTACAATAAAAGCTAACATTTCAAAAATGAATCAAAGTAAAAGTTAAATATATTGCCACCTTCCATTACATCTACTTTCATAAATAACTTCTTTGAACAGTTTGGTGTTTATCCTTCCAGATATTTGTGTCCTTTTGTAAACACGTAAGTTTATTTTTATGTTGTCCTACATGTTCATATTGTCCTATAACCGACTTTGTTTCATCTGCAAACATCCTGAACAGTTTTCAGGACAGTGTATGTAGATCCTCCTCCTTTCTGGGTGCCCCGTGTGTGTTTCCTGGTAGGAATGCACCAGAAGTGAATCAATCCCCCATTAATGAACTGTGAGCTCTCGGCCATATTTTGTTGTCATAAATCTTATAGCAATGAATAGTCTTATACATACATCTCTCTGTGTCAAATTCTTCCTAGAAAGGTATTTTGGGTCTAACATCCTGCATTTTTAATGGGCTTTCATTCACAATGAGGTGCTCTTAGCCACCCTTCATGTCACGCGTGGCTGGATGCGCTGGTGTTCACTGTTCCGTTTGCTTCTAGTATATTCCTCTCCAGGAACTACACACCTCTGCTTCCCACGATAGGCCCAAGTGTTTAACTACAGTCTGTTTTTTGCTGAATCTCTTTATTCCAGTTGGATTGTGCACTTTATTTAATTGTTATATAAACCAAAGAAGCATGAAGGAGAAAAGCTTGTCCTAAAAAAAAAAATGATGTTTAAGTTATGTTTTTCTAACCACCAACTTGAATTAAAAGAATTTTTTTAAATAACTAACCATTTACACAAATCACATCAGATTCAGTGGCTTCAACTGACTTGTAAACTCCACTGACCGTGGGACCATGTTTGCTGAATCTCTTTCTTCCAGTTGAATTCGTTATAGTAATTGTGTAATTTATTTAATTTTTACATAAACTAAAGAAGCATGAGGGGGGAAAGGTTGTTCTAAAAAAAAAAAAGAAAAAAAGACATTTAAGTTATGTTTTTCCAACTACAAACTTGAACTAAAAAAATTTTTTTAATAACTAACCACTTACACAAATCATATCAGATTCAGTGGCTTCAACTGACTTATTATAAACTCCTTTGGCCATGGGACCACTCTTAATCCACTTTGCCAGTAATGTTTCTGAAAAGCATCCCACAGCTGTTTGGTTTGTTTGTAAATTGGGTTATCTTTTCTCCTTAGAAATACCTAAGAACCAGACATGTCTTATCTGGGGTATCCAATATAATCTGCCTTAATGAAAGTGGATTTTTAGCCCTCTTTTTCATCCCCCATCAAGCCACTGTAAGCTGCAGTAATGCTGACTAAGACCCCACGTTCAGCCTCATAGAAAAGAAATTTTCTGTCCGGAAATTACAAATTTGCTATCTGGAAATCACAACTGTTGCCTTTGAAAGTGAGAGAATGTCTGTAGGCAAACATCCGGCCACTTTCTAACCTAATATAACATTAGAAATGGTTTTACAGCCCCTCCAAAATTTACAAACCCTTTATGTGATTATGTTCAATACTTAAGTATTTGTTATGGGCTTCCCATGTAGTGGTAAAGAATCCGCTTGCCAAGCAGGAGATGTAGATTCAGTCCCTGGGTGGGAGAAGGAAATAGCAACCTACTCCAGTATTCTTGCCTGGGAAATTCCATGGACAGAGGAGCCTGGTGGGCTACAGTCCAGTCCAAGGGATCAGGGGCTGCAAAGAGTCGGACACGACTTAGCAAGTGAATAACAACAAGTATTTTTTGGACATGTGGATACACAGGGAAACACTTTTCTACAGGGTTGGCTGTATAGGGATCTCTGATGAAGTCTGGATGAACTAAGAATTAAGTCATACTGAATCCATTCAACAAATATTTGTTAAATGCCCACTATATACTTCCCAGTTTCTCATAACTGCTGGGGCCACAGTTAGCCACAGCCAGCAGGACTGCTCCAAGATGCTTGTGATCCAGGCAGAGACTTCAGGCCATGGGGAAACACAAAAATTCAGTTAACTCAACAGGACAAACACTCTCTGAAATACTCTGACCATGTGTGCACCTGCCCAGTGGAGCAGGCTGGGTGCGAGGCAAAAAAAAATCTTCTCATGAAATCCATCAGTTTTCTACATCTTCTCAAAGCTTCCCCATGTCATTTAAGTATCAATTTTACTTACCCTCTTGACACTTGGCAGAGCCCTGCAGAGACCACCAGCCATCTCACTGCCGTGTTTTCTCTTCTAGGACATCAATGAGTGTATTCTTGAAAACTACCCCGAGTGTTCCAACCCCAGGTTATTTTACATCATTCCGTATTTCTGTGGACAGCACCCCAGATGCAGGTAAAGACTGAAACAGGCTCATGACATGCTTACGTGGACCACGATGGTGGGAAACCCACCATCTGGCACTTCTCAGGCACCTTCTGTGTCCCCAGTCTCCTTGCCTTCTGGAAGTCAGTTCATATTTATTGCGAATCTCTCAAGATCACATTTGAGAGTCTGAATGTCTCATAAATAAGGAAATTAAGAAAGCAAGGTCTGGAGAGGACCTTGGGGACCACCCCTAAAGCTGTGTAACTGAAATGCTAATCAAACTCTTCTTCCTTCTTAACATACACCTGTCACTACCCAGCTTGTGAGATAGTAAAACCCATGGGGGTGCAGCCAGCCTGCTCCTCTGCAGTGAGAGCTTCATCGATGGGTGTCCTTGCAAGTGTGGTGTGTCTAACTGGGTCGAAACAGGGATGCTCACTTGGAAAATTCCAGAGTGTCTCTCTCCTGAGACACTTAGCGAAGAAGAAAGTACTTTTAGTGATCACTCCTCAGCCTTATTTGGATGCCAGACCCTTGTCTATAAGGTGACTTATTCAGACACTTTATGTGGTCTACCCACCTGCATCCCTGGGGAACTTCTTGGGAATCCCCACCTAATCCCAGTCTCTGAGTTGAGGTCCAGGCTACTATGACCCCCTCTCCAGCTGGTTCTGATCCAGCTACACTGGAAACTCACTGTACTCTAGACGTGTGTCGCCTCCAGAAGAAATGGTGGTAATGATGAATATTATCTTTGCTTGGTGGAAAATGAACCCAGATGCCAGAAGTGACATTTCCCTCCAAAGGAGAGGTAATTAGAAGGTCATTGATTAGAAGGTCTAAAGAGACTGGGGGTTGGGAGCAGGGAACATACAGCTGTATCAAGTTGCAGTTTATTTATTCATTGTACTTTTTGCTGACACTGTGATTGCTACTTAGTTATTACCGACATTTTACTGAATTTACCACTTTGTTTATGGTCAGAATTCTGGGGCTAGACGTGTCAGCTTCATCATAAACTCCTGACTTCAGGAGGCCTCCCTCACCTACCCTCCCCTCTGTAATACATGCCTTCTGCTTCAGGGTCACGGCTTCAGATCCTGGGAAGATTTGGGGCCCAGTGTCTCCCTTTCTGACACAATGAACATATTTATTCAGAGAAACATGATTGTAACTCCTTAAAGTACTTTTTAAACTGTATATTTCCCAGTCTTGGGGTGAGGACTTAAGACTTTATCTGGGTCCATGCATGATGATTATCAGAACACTTTCAAAATGTCACCTTCTCCCACCTTGACAACAATTATTTGAGCTAAATAAGGATTATTTTAAAATTTTCAAAAAATAATCCTGGCTTCCCAAGTTCCCCCAGATGGTAAAAACCAGCTAGGCCTGGAGCCTAGTTCCTGTGATCTGCACGCTGGGCTCCTTACAGGGTTGTCGACTCAGAGATTTGCCTTACAAATACAAATTAGGCTGTTTCCCTTCTATAATAATACTTTTAAAAGTTGTCTTTAAATTTCTCAAAAGAGTAAGATGATTAGCAGTCATGACCCGACACCTGTTTCAATTTCTACAGAAGTTTCTTAAATCAGTAAGTTTCCCATGTCTAAACTTCTCACTTTATGGATTCGGTTTAATCCTTCTATTAAAAAGTCATTTCAGGGACGTCCCCGGTGGTTCAGTGGTTAAGACTCTGTGCTTCCAATGCAGGAGGCATGGGTTCAATCCCTGGTGAGGGAACTAAGATCCCACATGCTGTGCAGTGTGACCAATAAATAAATAAGCCATTCTAATCAGTGTTTGTTGATGTCTAGCTGCCTGGGCCCATATAATAAACATTTATTTGGGGCTCACTAAGCTCAAGAGCCCCAGGCCTGTCACTATGCAGGGGCCATGACGCTAGAGGAGAGATGATAGGGCAGGGGCCAGTTGGACCACGGCTGGAGATGCTGCATCTGGGCTGGTCCCTGAAGGAAGTAGGATTTGGACTTTTGTGAATGGGGGCAGGTAGGAGGAGGGAGAAACTTTCAACATGTTGTTGCTGCATTTGAAAACCAACTTTTGATTTAAACATCATTTTTCTATCTATAAAGGGAGCCTGGTGAGTGGGCCCTTGAAAGAGCAAAGCTGAACGTGAATGAAAACTTCCTGCTTGTGGGGATTCTCGAAGAGTTGGAAGACGTGCTGCTTTTACTGGAAAGATTTTTACCTCATTACTTCAAGGGTGTACTCAGTATCTACAAAGACCCAGGTAACTCCGTCTGTAAGCATTTCTTCTCTGTTCGGAGGGTTACTCACCTTGAAAAGAAAACTCGGGAAATAAAGACATGGAATCACCTCCTCTGTTAGTGAAGGGAGGTTCCCCTGGCTTCAAAGCAAGGTCAGAATCACGAGATACAGATCCCAAAGCCTTGAGCGTCAGGGCCAAACGTAAACTCAATGTTTTAAAGGCTTGATGCTTCCATTTCTTCCTCTGGAAAATGAAATTGGCAACATTCCTGTCAACGTTGTCCTGAACGTGTTGCTGGGGCTTCCCTGGATGGAAAGGTGTGTAAATGGGAAGGAGCCATCATGTGATGCGCTGTCTCTGGCTCTATGTCTGTTTTAAAAAAAGCGAATCCTGACACAGAGAACAGATAAAGCAGCATGCTGAGAATACAGTCATGATTTTCCTCCAACAAATGCAGTGGTTTCCAAATAGAAGCGAGAAGCAGAAAGCAGCAGAGCAAGATGTCACTATAAATGTGATTACTTTGAGAAACCCATTGTGTATTCCTCCTATTATAATTTTATCCCAAGAGAATGACAAATAACATTGATTTTGCCCTGTTCTTATTAATCTATTGCTGCCACAACATTGCCTAGTCACTAATGTGTTTATTATTTGGTTGTTTTGAAATGGGAGGTATTATTCTGCCTTGCCCAGGGGAAGGGCTCCCCCAGTACAGCCTCTGCCCCACACGCCAGCCAGCCAGGCAGAGACCACGTACTACATCATGAGCAGGTACTGATGATGGGTGAACTGGGCTTGTCTACAGGGGCCCTGACTTCTGTTTCATGGTAGGTAGGTGGTAGGCGGCCCTACCACCACCAGGGGCTGGTTGGGGGAAGGTGACTGCCTTGGTCTCCCCACTTTCTTATTCGGAGAACAACTCCCACGTACTTACATGACCAAGGACCTCGAGGTGTGCTCTGCACGTGTGTCTTCGAAGCAGGAAGTACAATTGGAAGAGCTAGAATTGTAACAAGCTCTGAATGGTCAGTTTTTTAAATAGGGCCTTCCTTTGCCCTTTCAACACTTGCCCTGGGTTTTGTGTTCTCTTTGGGCACCTTCTGTGAGGCTTATCTATGGTAACACTGAAGGCCAATCAGCTCCACAACTTCCTTGTCCTGAAGAGTGACCACGTCCCCAGAGGCAGAGGACAGGAGACGAGCATCCACGCCCTCTAGCTTCTGGTATATTTTAGCCTCTGCAAGGGCGAAACCCCTGTATTATTTTCTCATGGCCACAAATCAGCAAGCTGATGTCAGATAGGTTAGCGGAGGTCACTTGATCATTCACACCAGAACCAGTTCACCTGGGCCTTTTCAGTCTAAACTCACACATGGAGGCACGCTAAAATCACTGCTTTTGACCTTTACACAAGAATTTTATAAGTGAGTAGACTAGAAGATAGAGAACAGAAACACTGAAGTCGGAGACCCTTAAAACTCTGTAGATTAAACTGACCATGAAGTTGGATTAAGATGCCAACACTCCACTGACCATTTTTCTTTGGTGCTTGTCTTATTTTATTTAAAAATTCAGATATGTATAGACTTTTTGTAATCCCCTTCCAGCAAGATGAAGAATATTTAGGCCAGTCTCACTGCTGAAGAAAAAGCACTAATAACAATAATTGAGGAGCTGGTAAAAATAATGTCTGCTAGTAAAATGAGCCATCACTTATTCTAGATTGGAAGGATAGTCATTAATTCTTTCCAATCAGTACTAAGGGTTCCAATCACCCACCATTTAGAGAAATTAAGAACTTCCCTAAATATCTCAACTGTTAGTGCACCCCACCCATTCAATTTCCTCTAAGAAGTTATGAGTAAATTTGTCCCCTACCAAAAATATTGGAGAAATTTAGTCTTCATAAAGTTTTTAAGAATGTACTTGATATTAATGTTTGCATTCTGTGGAGACCCAGTTAAGCATATCTCAGAAGAACTTGATAATAATAAGTACTCAAGATGGAATAAAAATGAAGGTTTTCGCCTGATGGGTAAGCAAGAGAACATGCTCAGATATTTCTCACCAGCCCAAGGTCATTAGTGAGGCGGAGGCAGTACCTTGGAGCAAGGACTCAGTAAACTGTCCAACCTGGGTGTGAATTTGAATTGGGGGAACTGAAGCCAAAACAGTTACTGGGTAAGAGCAACTTCCTGTGATTAACTTAGGGTTAGGGTTAGGGTTAGGGTCCTAACAGTCTCATTTTTTATTGATCAATTTCAATCACATTTGCTCATTCCTTACCTTTCAAAACTGAGAGGCTTGGAGCCAGCTCAAAGAATTGAAGAGACTAAGATTCATGGTCATCCACCAAAATGTGAGCAGAAGGGCCACAGTTTACGCTTCCTGAAGCACAAGGGTTAACTGGTCATGAATGCTTTTCCCCCTTAGCTCTTAAAAACGGACATGCTGTGAGGAATCAATATTTTTCTTAGTCATAGTTCCTTTAGGAGTAAAAATCACAGAGGTGTTAAAGGCCAAAGTAAATAAGTAAAATAATTAAAGACAGGAAATAAGTGAATATCTGTGATAAAAACAGTGCTTTTATTAGCATCCCTCATAGATGTCCTTGAGCTGGTTAGTAACCCAGCTGTTCCACTTCAGTAGCCCGGTCTAGCATCCAGGCATGAAACTGTAGGACCTGACTTTAACTCACAACCTTCCTCCTCCCTGAGAACTCGAAAGCTCAGGTGTCCAATCCTTTTCTCTTGTATTTTAAGTACTTTCCTTTACTAGCATTACATTAGTATTCATCTTCAACTTGTTTCCATTACGAATGTAAACATTGGAGCCACAGTAGAGAATTCCTAGATTTTTGTGGACTGTCCTTGTGAATCTGGCCACCAACTACTACAAAGGAAAATATGTCTGATTCCAAACAAATGGCTTCCTTACTAACTTTGAGGGTTTAAGTTCATTCATAAATCAAGTGCTTTGTCTTGTTTCTAAAAAAAAAAAATATTTACACTTGAATAGTTTTATAAACGATGATGATGTGCTGTGCTAAGTCGCTTCAGTCATATCTGACTGACTGTGACCACATGGACTGTAGCCCTCCAGACTTCTCTGTCCTTGGGATTCTCCAGGCAAGAATACTGGAGTGGGCTGCCATGCCCTCCTCCAGGGGATCTTTCCGACCCAGGGATTGAACCCACATCTCTTATGTCTCCTGCGTTGGCAGGTGGGTTCTTTTACCTCTAGCACCACCTGGGAAGCCCAATGATGATGATAAATAGAAGTACAGATTTAAATATTTTTTAACTAGGTGTGAATGATAGACTCCCATTAAGAGTATCGCAATGTAAGGCTGAAGTTTATTGGCTTTGCAGTATTCAAATCTGAGGGTACTTACATACAAAATTAAAACTGGCCAGTTTTAAAAAACATTTATTCTTTAAGGAAAGAACACTGAGTTGGGAGTTCTCTTTATGTGGTGGTTCTGCGCTTGCAGTGGGCTTCCCTTTTGGCTCAGCTGGTAAAGAATCCACCTGCAATGCGGGAGACCTGGGTTCAATCCCTGGGTTGGGAAGATCCCCTGGAGAAGGGAAAGGCTACCCACTCCAGTATTCTGGCCTGGAGAGTTCCACAGGCTGTATAGTCCCCGGGGTCGCAAAGAGTCGGACATGACTGAGCGACTTTCACTTCACTTCTGCCCATAGGACCCAGAGCAAATGCAGCTTTGGGTGGTAGATCACTAGGATCTATTGGATCTGTTATTATGATACTAAAGTATTACATAGAAAGTTTTAAGGCACCTCTTTCTACCTTCTGTTGGTTTATAGAGTGAAAGTGAAAGTCACTCAGTCGTGTCTGACTCTTTGCGACCCCATGGACTGTGCAGTCTGTGGAACTCTCCAGGCCAGAATACTGGAGTGGGTGGCCTTTCCCTTCTCCAGGGGATCTTCCCAACCCAGGGATCGAACCCGGGTCTCCCACATTGCAGGTGGATTCTTTACCAGCTAAGCCATAAGGGAAGTCCAAGAATACTGGAGTGGGTAGCCTATCCCTTCTCCAGCAGATCTTCCTGACCCAGGAATCTAACTGGGGTCTCCTGCATTGCAGGTGGATTCTTTACCAACTGAGCTTTTCCCCTTAAAAACAAAAACAAAAAAACCCCACCATCCTAGGCAGTCTCACTGCCTCCTCAATTCCCAGTTATGGAGGCTGTCGCCACCTAGAGGACGTGGCGAGCCTAGGCTTCAGCGTTCTTTGAGAATCCGTCCTTGGCTAAGACAGGGATCCCAGCTCGCTCTCTGGTCATGCTGTCCACCCCTCTCTCTCACACCGTATGCTTTTCTGTCAGGGAGACAGGCTATCACAGTGATTAGACCAGAGGCTCTAGAGTAGACAGCCTGGGCGTTAAAGGCCATCCTCCACCTAACCGGACAACCAGAGGTAAGATGTAACTCCTCTGCCCCTCAGTTTCCCCGTCTAGTTAAGACACGGAAACAATACTGTCTGCGTCAGAAGGTTGTGGTGAGATGTACCTGATCAAATCCATGTAAAGCCCTCAGCCCAGAGCTTAACATATGATAGTGTTAGTCCTCAGTTGCAACCAACTCTTTGCGACCCCATGGACTGTAGCCCACCAGGCTCCTCTGTCCATGGAATTCTCCAGGCAAGAATACTGGAGTGGGTTGCCATTCCCTTCTCCAGGTGATCTTTCCTATCCAGGGATTGAACCCAGGTCTCCTGCATTGCAGGCAGATTCTTTACCATCTGAACCACCAGGGAAATCCCAACATATGATAAGTGTTCAAAACTTAACTCTTAGCCTGCCAACCACATTACAGGAGAGAGACAGGGCCTGATGTCTGGGAGGAACTAGGGCTTCCACTCTCTTTCTGTAACTTCAGTGTGAAAGAAAGAAGTAGAAGAGAGAAGGAGGGAGGAAGGAAGAAAAAACCATGATGACTCTTCATTTATTTCATCAGTGACAGTTGACCTTTAACTATAAAATCACATGCCTTTAGGAA